TACACTCCCACCAACAGTGAATAAGGGTTCCAGTCTCTCCACAACCTCGCCAGCATTTGTTGCTTGCTGTTCTGTTAAATTTTGCTAGTCTTACTGGAATGAGATGATATCTCACGGTTGTCTTGATTTGCATCTCCCATTCTGAGCTTCTTTAAGGAGACGGTGGCCTGTTGATGAAGGAGTTGTGTTCCCTACTCAAAGGCAGGTAGTTGAATCTACCAGCTGCTCTGCAGGACCAAGACAGGCAGGTTTTTCCTGTGTAATTTATGGTCTCTCAAAAAACAGTAGAGGGTCAGTTATGAGTCATTTCTGACTTGATGGCATGAGATGTTGTTGAAGTGTTTTTATTTTCACAAAATGAGACAGATCCATCAAAAAGTGCTAAAAAATATATGGAAAATATTAATGTTGCTTTTATATGTCTCTTTTATTATTTTACCCATTAAATAAAAGAAGAACGTCCCTTTGGTGTATAGTTTTTAGTGAATTTTTTTTTAGCTTGATTTGAGCTTCTCATCAGAGTGGATATAAGAGATTGTGAGGAAATGGTGTAGATATTATAATGGCAGCTTTGTAATGGAACAAAGTGTTTGTATTATTACTTGGAACCACAAAAGGTAGAGTTTGTGAGAGGAAATGTGAAAGCAGATCAGCGATTTTTATCTGTGATGTAAGATGGTGACATAGGTGTGTTATTTTTCCTTTGGTATTGGTGGAAGTTGATTTATCCACAGTCCCTTAGTACTTAATAATTGGACAGTTTCTAATAAATCTCACCTTTGTCTTGCAGTTGCTTTGAAGTGTGTATGGGTCTTGCCTCTCTTTCTAAGCATTTTGCTGCTCAAGGATGGAACTCTTCTGCATCACTTTGTTTTTTATTTTGCTGCAGGAGGAGTTGGATTTGTCTTCCAGTTCCCAGATGTCTCCCCTTTCCTTATACAGTGAAAGCTCTACAAGCCCGTCCTCAGCAGAGCGGTTGAAGGAAGATAAGCCCTTCATCAGTCCTAGGAACAAAACTGGTATTATTTCATCTCCTAATTCTTTGTTATTGCTTTTTCAGACTGAGTTTAAGTTCTCTTTCTTAAAAGAAAACATTAGATAAAATGTTGTTTATAAAACTGTTGTTTTTAAATTAGGAAGCCTCTCTTTTAATGGATAATTACTTCAATGTGGAGAGAAATGGGAAGAAACAATCTTCTTTGATTGTGCCTGTGTTTATAGGTGAAAGATACTTTAAAATGAACTTAGATACTGTCATCTTTGTAGAGCTTCTAAAGTTGCCGGTAAAAATACTGAATGTGAGGGCTGTTCAGCTGTGGCATTTGTTACCTAATCCTTCTCCAGATTTTATTCAGTAATTTTAACTCTTTCTACCAGGCATCCCTCTTCAAAGCTTCATGCTTAGTAAAAAAGGAAGGCCTCAGGTTCAAGACTTTTCTTTAGTCCAATTAAGTATAGTATGTCATTGTTGATTGCCTTTGAGTCGAGCATGATTCATAACAACCCTATGAACCAAAGGCCTGAACTTTCTATAACTATTGACATTTATCAAAGTTCATAGAGTATCTGGAGGCATATTGTTTAGGAAGTGGATGCTACTATAGCAGCTATGTTTAAGTTAAACATATTTATTCAGTAGTCAAAATAAATGTGTAAAGAAAGAGATGTTATAGAATCCCTTTTTTTAGGATTTGTCTGTTGCCTTGAGATTGATTTGTAGTTTGTTTTCTTTTTCTCCAGAAAATGGACTTACTCAGAAGAAAAAAATTCAGATAAATTCAAAACCTTCAATTCAGCCCAAGCCTTTATTGCTTCCAGCAACACCCAAGACTCAAACCAACTCCAGTGTTCCAGCAAAAGCCATCATTATTCAGGCGCTACCAACACTTATGCCACTGGCAAAACAGCAGCCAATCATCAGTATACAACCTGCACCCACTAAAGGTACTGAAACAGTACTTGAGGCTTTGTATATGTAATTGTGGGACAGTGAGGTTTGTGTCATAGAATTTGTTTTAATTCCCATTATAATTTCTGAGCATGTGCTGAGTGCCAGGAGTTGTCCTTGGTCTGAGGCTGTTGCAGAGATGACCAATATGTGGTTCCTGTTCCAACAAAAAGTCCTTGGGTGGTGCAAATAATTAATGCACTTGGCTGCTAACTGAGAAAGGTTGGAGGTTTGAATCTACCTACAAACACCTCAGAAAGCTCTGGCAGCCTGTTTTTGAAAAATCAGTCACTAAAACCCCTATAAAAAACAATTCTACTTTGATTTTTATGAGATTGCCGTGAACTGCAGTTGCTTGTTGCTTGGTCCTACTAAAGGAGATAACCTTCCAGACGAATTGAATTTGATGCTTCTTGAGTTTTATTATAGAAAGACATGTCTCTAAGGCTTTTGACTTTAAATAACCAGGTTTTCTTGTCATTAATTTTATTTATTTACTTATATTGAGATTTTGAATGGAAGTTTATGACTTGAATAGGTTATTTAATTTGACCATTCATACACATTTTGTTTTATAAGATTAATTACTGTCCTCAGAGTGTAATTTTACTTTTCCCACTTCATCCCGGTTATTCTCATTTCTATTAATGTTTCTCTCCTACCCCTTCCTGCCTTTTTCTTTGGGCAGGTGCTGCTTTTTTTCACCTTATGTAGTTAGTTATTCTAAGAAGTGAATGCCTACCTGGTGCTGTTTATGGGATAGTCAAACTCGGGGGTGAATTTTGTTCAAGGTTCAAATGGTGACTGAGGACCATAGTCTCAGAATTCCATAAATAACCAGTTGGGATAAATAAAAAAAAAAATTCTAGCAAACCTTCTTGGTGTCATTTTATGATGAGATTTTTATGGCTGTTAATTCTTTTTAAAAGAGATTAATTTTTAAAAGAATATGGTCTATTTCAGGTCAAAGATAGATGTTTTAGCAATAGAAAAAGGGTCATAATCTGTGAAAACATCCTGTTGTTTGTTAAACTCGGTCTGGTGTTGAGTTGGTTCCAACTCCTGGTGACTTTGCATCAGGGTTCCTGGAGTTACATCTTAACAGAACACAATCTGTCTTTCAAGTATCCAATACTGGATTCAAGCTGCGGAGACATACAACCTTGGGGTTATCAGCACAACTTGTATGGATTGTAGGGAGTCACCAGAGTTCTTGTTTGGTAAACTCACTCACTCACTCACTCACTCACTCACTCACTCACTCACTCATTGCTATTGAGTTAGAACCGACTTTGAGTTTCAGAGGCTGTAAATTGAATGGGAGGAGATAGCCTATCTTTTCCTGCAGAACCACAAGTGGATTTAAGCTGCCAGAGAGGTGTGACCTTTAGCTTAGCAGTGCAACCCGAGACCCTGCCACCAGTGCTCCCTTTTTGGTGAGCAGGGTATTGAATTTAGTTGTTAGGAGGAGATCTAGGTCTTCTAAATCCTCTGCCTCTGAGTTGATTTCTACTCTTGGTGACCCTCTATTTGGTTTCTGAGACTGTAAATCGTTGCGGGATGACTCCTCCCATCTTTCTCCTGTGAAATGGTTGGTAAATTTGAACTGCTGCTTGTTTGATGAGCAGCTTGAAATGTCATACACTTCACCACCTACCTCCTACTAAGGAGAACTGAACTCTGCCTTGAACCAAAAAATTGTGTTTCCATATTTTATCCACTAGATGGCCTCACATGCCTGTAAGTCTCTAGGAGGTTTGGCTCAGTATTAAAAATTCAAGTTTGAGGATTTGGTACAATTCAGACAACAAAATATTTGAAAGTAGAGATCTCTTAGATTATTCATTATTGCTCTCATGCTAGTATCTGTAGACATGGGTACAAGAGACCTTGTCCAGCTTTTTTTTCCCTCTGGGCTCAGCTTATTAGCCCCAGGTAGGTTTAGTTGTTTATGGGGCACAAATTTTTTTATTTCCAGTTGTGGACAGATATACCAGTTCTTTAGAGCACAGTTTTAATGAGGCAGCATTATAAATTTGATTCCGAGATACTTTGTTACCTTGGTTCTGCTCCATAGTCATAATGACAGTGATAACAAGTAGGTCAGAGAGTGGATATATCAGTGAAGATCCATCAATCCTGCAAACAAAAGAACAAAGCAAAACAGAGAAAGCCTTTTAGGCTTTGAAAATACTTTTCTTCCTATGCAGGGTCAAAACTATCTTTCCCTAATGGCCATGTTGGTAACCACTGGTAACTCAGTACTTAATGTTGTTCTTAATTGAGATGCCATGTCTTAAGATGTACAGCCTTGGGAATGCAGTGGAAGGTCACTGAGTCAGATGGCAGCGTGATAAGTGTAAGATACACTCCAGATCTCAAAGACTCAACACAAAGAAAGGAATGTAAAGCATCTTACTAAAAATTTCTTTCATGTTGACTTCAAGTTGAAATGATAATAATAAAAAGAAAATGAAAATAATAAAGTCTTATCATTGAATTCAAAACAAAAAGCCTTAAAAATTAGTAATCTTGTAGAATAGAGATTCTTATAATCTGTGAATGAATGCTAAAGCTTCGTGAAATTTGATGGATGTTCATATGTAGATTTTTTCTAGGTTGTTATGTGCCATCAAGTTGCCTGTGACTCATATTGACCCCTAGGTACAGCAGCTCTGAACCCTGCCCTATCTGAGCCGATCTCACTGTCTCCAACACACTTACCCCTGTTACCCTAGTTACTTGGTTAATCCATCTCATCCAGGGTCATTTTCACTTGTGCTGTCTCTTAAGACAGACCTGCTTGCTCTTTTGCTGATCCATGCTATTTTCGATACTCTTGATACTCTTCTCTAGCACCACAATTCAAAGGCATTGATTCTTCTTCTGTCATACTTAGCCATTGCCCAGCTCCCTGAAGTAAAGCAAGTTATTGCAAAGACCATGGCCTGTATCAGGCACACCTTAGTCTTTAGACTGACATCATTGCTCTTTATCACTTTGGAAGGATCCCTGACATCATACTTCCCCAATGCAAGTTGCCTTTTGATTTCCTGACTTGATTTTTCTAGGTAGATCCTCCAAGTCTTTGATTAGGTTTTCTAAAGGCTGTACCTTCTTAAAAGATTAGGAATTTACACTTGTGAAACACTGCATTACAGTTCTTATAAGTTATTTTTTAACATATACCTATGAAAACTAAAAGTCGATGTATCTTGTCTGTTTTTATAGTACTATCTTGAGAGGCAACATTACACAAATTTCTACATATGTCTTTGTGGTACGATAGGTTTCTTTTTACATATGGATTTTTCTACTTGAGTTTGTAATTTTATAAATAATTTGTTATTATAAATAATTGGTTATGCAGCGTCCTGCATTGTGCTGGGTCAATTTTATATACCTAACCAGGCCCTGGTTGATCTGCATCTCCTAGATAAATACCAGAATCCTACTGCCATTGAGTCGGTTCCAACTCATAGTGATGTGATTTCAGAGACTGTAAATTTTTATGGGAAGAGATTGCCCAGTTTTCTCCTCTGGAATAACTGGTGGATTCAAACTGGAGACCTCCTGATGAATAGCCTTATACCTTATATGCTTTACCAGCAGTAATAATGTCTAGAATCACCAAGCAGAATTAAGCGACCCTGTGGGCCTTGGTTAGTTACTGTGCACATTAGATTACTGGTTTATGGAGGTTATTTGTTGTTAGGGTTCCCTCCTCCCCACCACCCCCAGTTGATGGTTTGTGATGGTTAAAATTGCATCAACTTTGCTGTCTATATTTCCCTGGTTTGGTAGTCCAGATGTGGTCATTCCCCTGATGGACTCTGATGTATGGTTAGCATTCTGTGATAACACATTTTATATAATGTAATCACCACCATTATGAGAACTTTCATTGAGTATATGACATGTATTGAATATATGGGCATCTGGCAACCTATTGCTAGTGGCCTGCCATCATGTCTGCTAATCTTGGGTTCATAGCACATGAAGTTATGTGAATCAGGAGAAGCCCCTAGCATATAAAGGACATATTAACCTCTACCAGCACATGAAGAAGAATCAATGCCTTTGAATTGTGGTGCTGGAGAAGAGTTCTGAAAATACCATAGACCACAAAGAAAACAAATAGGTCTGTCTTGGAGAGGGTAAAACCAAGTTTCTCCTTGAAGGCTAGGCTTTTCAAGCTCTGTCTCATATACTTTGGGCACATGGCCAGAAGAAAGTGGTCCTTAAAGAAAGACATCATGCTTGGAAGGGTGGACAGGCAGTGCAGGAGAGGAAGACCCCAGATGAGATATATTGATATAGTAACTGGGGCGATAGGGGTTGGTGTGTCAGAATTATTGAGACTGGCTCAGGACAGGGCAGGGTTCAGAGCTGCAGTACATAGGGTGCCTATGGGTCGCAGGCGATTCGATGGCACATAACGACAACAACCAGCAAGCACATGAGCCATTCATTCCCTTGAGTTAAATATCTGTCTCTCTAAGCTTCATTGGTTTTGCTTCCTCAGAGAACCCAACCTAAGACAATGGTCCTGGTAAGGAAGATCATGCTTTGAAATGACAAACTGCTTACATTAGGGCTGAATCCACAGAAGTTGAAGAAGATTCTAGAGCAGAGAGTATCTTTTCAATTTGGGATCTCTGTCTAGACAAACTCCCAGACATTGGCCTAAGAGCTGTAACACCTGAGATGATTTGAAACAGTGAGAAATGAGACGAGACAGTAGAAAAATGGTGGCCACATCCTAGGGCTGGGAACAAGGGGACTGCAGCAAGTTTGTCAGACTAGTGAGTGAGAAGAGTGAAATGATTTTGGGAAGGAAGCTTGCTAGCAGAATGGGTGTCTTTGAGTGTTTGCTGGTGGAGATAAAAGGCTGTAACACTTGTTGAATAGGGCAGAGGCTGAGGAGGGCCAGCCGACCTGTCTCTAGACATGACTGAGAAGGTGAGAGCTGTTTTAGTTGGAAGGTGTCCTAATT